AGCAGACCAAAGTCAATGAATGCATCGGAAGTCTCCATATCCATCGTATCTGTAAGCAAGTGGTCGAGAATCAGGGCGTTGGACAAAAGGTCGGGAGTCTCTCTTGTGGCGGAGGTGGGTCAACCTGACCGAGGGGTAAGATGGAAATGGTGGTAGTCCCGACAGATACGGTAGATGTGCAATCCACCTTACTCAACTAAAATCCCTAACATGATGTGGTAAACGCTATAACGTGATCAGGAAATCAATGTCATTCAGCAAACTCACCACCAAGTCGCAGACGTCAGCACTATGGCTATGAGAGCGGCCGAGATGTGGAGGTAGAGATATCCAACTGCAGTTGGATCCCCAGAGGAAACATAGTAAACAACTGCATTGGCTAATGTCTGAGCAAAATTCCCTGACTGCCCAATCAGGGAAATTGAGAAGTATGATACTGTCACCTAAAAATGAATTTCGATACCAGAAGGATAACGGCTACATTGAAAAAATTCAAAGTTTCAGTCCAGCAGCAGTAGTGAAAGACTAGTTTATGTTCAGCGGGTAGTAGCGTTCTGAAAGCCAGGGCAGGGTTTTCCTGTTACCTAAAGTTCCCTGAGGTTGGTGGGGCACAGAGTCAGATAATCGTCTACATCAACATCTGTACGTCCTCTTTACTATACAGCTTGGACGAGTTTTCAAAGCGATCTCTGGCACCGTACAGATAGAGAATGCTGGTCGAACTGTTCTATTCTTATACTATCTCACACTTCCTTTGTCTGATAAATGAGATTTAACAAAATTTTTCTGTGAAAATTACTTAAACAGACCTAAAAGAATCTAAACTGTTTGGGCCAAGACCAATCCCGTCTGAGAGATACGCCCCAGCATCTAACTCTCCTTCAGAACTGTAGTGGCGATTGAATAAGTATGTGGCCTATACAATGACTTGCGGTGGCCAGCCGATGTGCAAGTCAGCACTTTTATCCTCCCAGGCAAGTCTGCTACCATTGTCCGACCCCGGAAGGAATGAAAGCTTGGTTGGTCTAGGCGGATACCGATCCAGGATTCAAACCAATGACCACGGGTGTGTGATAGTGCGCCACTTGCCACTACACTACCTTCTCCAAAATGAGAAAAAATTTAAAAACGAATTTATAATTCATTGAAAACATAAAAAACCAACCCAACATGAGGAAATTCTAAGATTCGCCTCAGCCCCATGTGCATATAAGTAACTGAAGCAGACCGCACTATACAAAATGATCGTCAAGAAAAATCCCTGAAATACTCTTACTGTATTAGTGTCAGTGACAAACGTGACGATCAAGCGTGGCAAACGCAACCCCATACCTAAGTGACATAAGGGATTGCGTAGCGGGTTCCGTATGTGTGTCTTAAGTCACGACGTGAAATTGCGAATATGGCAATGGATATAGGCTGTTCATTTTCATTTCATAACATTTTCTGACAAAATGTAGTCCGCTAAGAGCCCAGACCTGATGTGCACAAACTCCCCCCTTCAGCAGCCTACAGTGTTTTGGCGAAACCGGCGAACGTTCGTTGCGCGTGTCCGTCAAAAGTAGGTCATCCCGCCCACTTCGCGCACGGCGCACTCCACTGAGGTCTCGAGACGACATTACAGTACCATCAAGTGTGAGTGGAGCGAACGATTTGCATTTGTCCATGTTATATTCTCTTTGGCTGACTACCGTGGAGAAAGAGCAAATCGTATGCCCCGCTTACAGCTGCGACGTCTGTCAAGTATCGCAGNCCCGCCGCATGCGACGGCTGCGGCGTGACCTAGTTTCGACGGACACGCGCAACGAAGCGCACCCGGCGAAACCTTTCCGCTTTCCGATTTTTTGATTACCCACACTTCTCCTAGTCACCTATACCGATTTGTGAAGAAAATGTAGTCTTCTGCACTGAAAACATCCCGATCTTCTAATTGAGAATCGGGATATCACAAAATGGCCCACACCGCAGATATTTGTCGACAGAGATCTGGGGCCGTAGAGAGGAAGCGCCGTATAGGGGTGCTTTGTTGTCGATGTGTCTGAGCCCTCGCTAAGCTGTGAAAGATGAAGGGCCATGGCACGAGATCCGATATAGAAGTGCGATCCATTTCGGACGAGGCTGCTATGAAACTTACACTCCGGTGACGGACTTTATCCCGAATTCCCACGCTTGCAGGTACTCAAGCCACAGTAGTCTCAAGGCGTTCACCTCGAGACTCGCTGCAGCGATACTTCAGACCCCCTTAGGATGTCCCTACACTGTGCGTTCCAACACATGGCAGGAGCGGCAAGCCAGTCACGACCAGGTTCCAGTGCAACAATGAAGTGCACCTCTATCGGCGCACATTTCATTCTAGTATGCTCAACCGGGTAGTTCAGCTTCCTGGGAGGTACGCTGCGATCAAACTGTACTAAAAACCTCACCTGCGACCTTGTTATAGTCTTCACTTCATCAGAAATGAAAATTATGTCGTACATGTAATCCATATAGAGCATATCAGTCATCTAAGTTGGTTAGCTCTCAGTAGTAGGAATCAAAATTCAAACGGTGCAGAGCTTCGAAACTTCCTTACTGAATGGAAGGAGGAAAAACTCACCAGGGCACGAAAAATAACGGCCCCTAAAAGACCGCCGGCAAGTTGTACAACTACAAAAGCTATAGCACTGGCAATATCTAAACGTCGAACTAGGGCCTGAGAAATCGAAACCGCTGAAACGAAGGGATGGCATGGAACATCAGCTATTTCTGTTCTATGAATGATATTCAATAACAAAATTGTATCGTGCATAATCAATCTTTTTGGTCTTTATGAGGCTTGATAGAACCTTAATGGCTGACATTGAGATTGCCTTCTTCAGAGTCTGTAAGGATCAAAAATTCAGTTGTGATTACCCGAAAACACGTCTCCATCAGCCCTCCTCAAGTTTGAGACTTAACCCCGGATCAGGTTGGTTTGTTTTCATTCAAGAGTCAAAAATATTCGTAATGCAAAGCTTGTTTCAGAAAGGCATCCATCACCTACTACTTCATGAAGGGAACAACCCCCCCCCCCCTCTTCACCCCAACCACCGATAGCACTTTATCTTCTACGAAATTCCCCCATATGCTGTCGTTCTTTTTCCTTTTGTTGTCGTTTTTTACTCGAGTTGTGGGCCTTTCCATTCTGCTCCCTCCCCCACCTCACCCCTCCCCTTCCCCTTCCCCCTGAAATACGACGACGCAAGTGAGCGGAGGATCTATATTGAATAACTTTTTCTCATAAGCACGCTCGGGAAGATCAACAGAAGGCTTCAAAGCAGTTTCGCTACCCTTTCAAACTGATTTAATGCATCCACAAGAAGTAGCAAAGTGTGATTAGATGGCGCTCATGATGCTTAGCAGTAAGGAAGTTGCAGCTCATCGGGTTTGTTCCTTACTAATTAGTCTCCTCCTTAGGAAAAACAAAAATAAAAAATCTATTAAACAGTAGCTCAGCTCTTGTTCAGCATTTCGTACTTGACCGAAATGGCAAACAACTCGCTCAACGCTGCTCTCATAAGCCTAGGCAGTCCATCGAATCCAGGGTGTCGTATTCAAGAGCCGAGATCATGGATCGGTTCCGGAAGAGGTAATACTTGTCGGTTAAGCGGGAACTAATCCCCTATGCAGGATTATCTCTAGGCAGCCGAACTCGACCATTCTAAGCAAAGGCTGATTCGAGAAATCAGGAAGGTACGGACTTTACTTGCCTAGAGTGAGGTGAAGGTTGTTTTCTAGAGGTTTATGGAGTATTGAGGTACTTAATCGGATAACTTCATGAGCGATTTTCATCCTGCCAGGCTTCGAAGAAGGTGTGTACGCCGAGCGTTAGCCGTTAAAGGTATTTGCCAGCTTAATGGCTGATTTTGAGTCAATTCGATAGAAGGAGCCACTGTTATTTGTTGAACTTCTCGGATTAAATCAGAATGTATTCGAAGAGTACGGGTTCTTACCTGGATTGAAATGCCCATTAGTGATGTCAGCGAAAAATCCACGAATAATAAATAATGCCAAACCCGAGATCAGCGAATAATTGATGGGCCTATCAGGAGATGGTGTACTGGCCAAATTAGCTAAAAAGACAATTCCCTGTTGATTCAAGAAACTTCTCGGCTTCCGGCCCTATTCACACATTCAGGTTTGTCACAGTCATTACCAAAACTTTACGAACCAAATAGCACAAAAAGTCCCGTCCCAATCAACTCTCCAATAGCCGGTTGGACGTAGATTGCATAGAGATCTTCTTGAACAGCTTCTACATCGGCCATAACGCACTGTAAATTTTTCTATTCGAAAGATTCTGAATGTGAAATGATAGAGAGCGGGAAACCATATTTCGAGAAAGTAGACGATTTATACTTCGTTCCCATTCATAAAAGCGAAAGTTTGTCGGAAAGAATCTCTTAGGTATGAGGAGGTAAGCCAATCAGATCTTTAACCGGGCGTGTTGTGAGATGAATTTCAGACGTTTCTTTTCATCAATTTTATGATGTTTGGATGTTTTTCGGTGAAAAAACTGCGTGGATCGGTGTTTCCAAAGTGAAAAAAGGCAAAATGAAAAGGAAAACCGCTAAAAAGGGGGCTGGACGAGAATGAGACTAGAAAGATGGAGAAGAGTGGGGCGTTCGGACGAGCTATACAGGTATCTCACTGCGTACGTGTGGATCCCGGTGCGAATAACAGGCTATGTACGTGTGGATCCCGGTGCGAATAACAGACTATGGTAAGCAGAAATTCATTCGCTTATAAGCATAAGTAAACGAAAAAAACCCAAGTAACGAAGTATCTCACCTTTTCAGTCCCTAGAAGTAGGAAGTTAAACAAGGGATCGCGGCAGCAAAAAGAATGACAGAGGAAAAAGGGAGAAAAAAACATCGTCCCATCACTTGGTGATCAGCTAATTGTGTGTGGGTCCTAGAACGAATAGTCGCAATCTGTATTGTCTCAACAGTTGTCTGACGTGACATCGGGAGCCGGTCGTTTGGCGCGGTGGGCGGGGTCGCCCCGCCCATTTGAGGCGGCGCGACTCCGCCCATCGCACCGTTCAACTCGTTCAGATCGCGTAATCTTCTTCTCTCCTCTCCTCTATAGATGATGGATTGGGCTTCTATCATCTATAGAGGAGAGGAAAGCGGAAGATTACGCGATCTAAACGAGTTGAACGGTGCGATGGGCGGGGGCGCGCCGCCNCAAATAGGCGGCGCGACCCCGCCCATCGCGCCAAACGACATACACCCCGTGACATCGGTCGAGGGGCGTGCCTTTAATAGGTCGTCGCGTGAGTCTCGTCCCTATTAATTCATCGGGCTCCTACAGATTAAAAATGAGCTCTTCCCCACGGTTTCGCACACTGCCCAACAAATGACTTGTGATTTTAAATCACAGTGAGATAGGTTTTTCCTCTATCCTTGGCATTCTAATCATGAGTCTCCTTGAATGACGGCTATTGCAACGATCGCGGTAGGCCGATTCGCAACACCTCTGCCAATTCTGGTGGTTCACTCACCTTTTCCATCTGCGAATATGAGATGTGTGACTGATTAGTTATCGGTCGATGTGTGGCCCTCAAAGTTACATTCTACAGACTTTGGGTAAGGAAAAATGCATCGTACATGGCGCGACCTTACTAAATAGCTTCAATGCGAGAAGAAAGATTAAGTGGAAATAGTAAAGGGAAACAATTGAATAGATTTTACATTTTATTAAAGTATTGCCCTAGATATACCCTTTTGGGATGAGCCCACGCACACCACTTCCGTTAAAATCGCAAAGGTATTCGATGGTGTATAAGGCCTATAAAATGAATTGTGGTGGCCAGCTAGAAAATCACCACTGCTGCCCTCCTAGGCGACTTTGCAACTGATAAACAGACCCCGAAACGATGGAGTGCACAGTTGCCCTGATAGAGAATCGATCCAAGATTTCAGCAGGACTAAGAGAGCAATAGCGGTGCAATTTGACACTAAACCACTTCGCCCTTTCTTGACTCATAACGAACAGAACCAAATGGCATGTTAGCGTGCAAATAGCTATGATACTAGACCCAACAATCAAAGACGTAGTACTAGACAGCGACAAAAGTTCTAGCGGCACATATCGACGATATCTTGAAATCCTTCAGTAACCAAAGAACGGTATACCTGTCACACAATGGAATTGTTAAACGTCGAACCGAGAATTAACAAAAAAAAAACTGAAATTACACTTAATGTAGTATCCATCTTTGAAAAAAGATCGAATTGGGCTCAAAGGCCTAACGTTAGAGTGAGAACAGAAGAAAGGACACTTGAATGGCACGTGAACATGTAGAAATATTTATGGGGACATTATATGGACACCACCTGCCGAGAGTTACGATTATGGCATGTGTGTGACGGAAGGTGCGCTTAGGGGGAAGCGTAGTAAACCGCCGAAGTTACCAAGGATACACCTTGTCGCTAAAGGCTATTCGTCGCTGTCCCTAAATCGAAGAGACTATGTGGCGACATGTTGGAGGGCAACATGGCCTACTGGGAACCGATCTCAGGAAGTTGTGTACTGTAGGAAATGTGCCCGAGCATTCCGCGCCGAACATGTTCCAATTAAAGCGACCATTATGCATGTTACAGTACTTTTTACTCTTAGAACCGTTCGTTCTTACGACCCTTAAAAACAAACTCTGAAGTTCAGGTCCAGAAAATAAAAAGCGAGTACTGTAGCATGACCATCCCTATCCACCCTGGCATATTATAACGTCCCCTCTGAATTGATTGTGATAAGATCTTAGAGATGACATAAGCGAAAAGGAAAACCTAGGAATAAGAACTAGATTCACATCCTGTTCAGATGTGATATCACCGACTACTGAGACAAACAAAAACGCAAATATGGTAATCGACTGATACGAAAGAAAGTTAATCGATGGACAAACGCATTTCCGGACGACCGTTGCCAAGGGAACCCCCCTTTCTAAGTCATTAGGCACCTGACCCATTAATGACTTCCCCATAGCAATAGCTCTCTACCGTCCCTTTTCGAGAATTCGACCCTCACTGCAATACCTTTGCGGTCCCTTTTCTGAGAATCGACTCATCTTAGTCCATAGCAACGGATGAATGACTGACAAACCTACAACAAATTGCTAATACGCTCCAGCTCAATGTAAACTGAAGCCTATAGTAATTTTGTACCCAAATCAATAATTTCGATATTTTGGCAAAGAAAAACAGCAAAAAGATGCAAATCATTTTATGCTTTAAACAGAATAATGATACAAGGTTCAATAGCGCAGTAAGCTGTTAGTTGCACAGCAACTAGTAATGAATTGTGTTTATCTAGAAATCGACGTGGATGTCTATACGTCTGAAGCACATATAAGAAAGAAAATCCGTGACTATACGTATAACACCGGATAGGTGTCTCGAAATACCGGAAAATCATCGAACTCAGTAGCTCATTTGAAAGCTACATTTGAAAAATTTTTGGCCTTCCGTTTCGTTTTGAACTCAATTGTTCGAAAGACATGACGGGCACGAACAAAAGGAAGAAGCTGTACGAAACAGGCGACGAGTGTCCGTACTAGGCAATTTTACGGTAAATTAAGGTTGAAATTAAAGTGTTGGCAAAATCTCGGTTTGCACAGCTGAAGAAGAATAACCCACAACTGGAAAGATTTTGGCGTTGATCAATCCCGTGGATGCGCCCTCGCATTCGATTCCCATTAAAATTTAAAAAACTTAAGATACATCAGATATTCACTTCAATCGGAATTCTTGAAAAGTGATCGAAAACCTTATCTTCAAGAGAAATCACCCAATTGTCTAAGGATATGAAAAAGGATCATAGGAAAACCTGATTGTTTTCGACCTCCGCGAAGTTTTTTCCATCTAGAAACCTTGTAGCCCAATCTTACAGAGATCCTTCACCATTCAAAGACTTCAACTGCTTCTCATGGCTTGAAGTTACCAATCGGCCCCTATTTTTTCATCCCAGGAGTATCACTGGAAAAAAAGACAAGGTTGACCTCAACCCTACACCGAGGAAAATCATGCGGTATTCGCCAAGGGGATACAAATGCAGCTGTCTTTTTCCAAAACCCATGGAGGAATTTCAGAAAGTTGGGTTCAATAAGCAATAACTTTTTCGATCCTTGGGGAAATGGGCTATCTCGGGAATGAGCCTTTCCAAGAAATAGCCTTCAAATGAGATACATTAAAGATAGAAGAACATGAGGCAAGGGATAACGGAAAGCGCAACGTATGTTTCGTTCAGCGCTATAGAGTAAAAAATAGTCACATCATTAGTTCCTAAGGATGGAGTAAACGTGGACAATAGTCAGACCAATGGACGGTAGAAGTTACCGTTCAGCATACACAGCGCGGCAGTAGCCGCATTACCCATATTGTCGTACCCACGCGAGGGTAGTGTGGATGCAGCATAGTACTGGGTAGAGGAATAACACTGAATATAAAGGAGATGTTTCATGATGAGAAAGATTTCTAGATAATCATGACAGAAAGAATTCTTAAGGGAAAGATAAAATAGGAGATGGTATGAGATATGCAACCATTTCAGCGTTCTTCGACGAATATTTGTTCACGTACTGGCCATTTCAATTCCATAAACGTTTTCGATTCATCCAATGTAGTCACCTGCAGAGGGAAACATAACGAACTCGTCAAAAGATTTGTAATAGATAGACTCACATCTTTCTTTGGGAAATCTGAATTGAAGAAACGATAATCTTTGGCCGAGTATCCCTTGGCTCCAAGGAACTTTATCAGTACTGACAATTTTTCAGTAAGACGGAAACGACGCATAACCTCAACATAGCACTTCATTTGAAACATGACGACGAGGAAAATTAAAAGAATATTACATCAAAGTTGTTATCACGTTCAAAACTTACCTGCTCACTCCCAGGCAAGCGGAATTTTACCATGATTGCATTTCGATCACCTTCAGCTGGTTCATCAGGTAGCTGGCTGGCTAGTAGTTGACGTCTAAAATTTTCAGAATAGATGGACGCTTAGGAAAAATGCGGAAATCCATGAAAAAGTCCTTGCTTTATTTCAATTTCTTCAGCTTCACGTAGTTTTCTTTCCTCTTCTTCTCTTTGTTCTCTCAATTCTCGTTCCTTTGCCTGCATTCGAGCCTTATCTGCTGCCAGTGACATTTCATATCTGAACAGGGTGAAGAAAAACTATTGTCCACACCACATTGGCAACATCTCGGTCCAATAGGGCAACTTGTGACATGATTATTACACCCTTCGTGAGTACTTGAGAGAAAAAAAGAGAGCGCTAGGGAGTGTTTCAAAAGGAGCCTAGTTCTGTACACTCCTCTTCAACATTCTTATTGAATTTGCATAAATCTCGATCTAGGAGTCGTGTCACCTTCACGAGAATGGAAACAAATTGGCACATACTCATGAGCTTGTTCTTGTCGGATTCTTTCTCTCTCCAGTCGAGCTGCTTCCTCGGCCTTTTCGGTATTCCTTATAATTGAATATGTATCTATACCCGCCATTAGCTTTTCCATCACAATGTCTGCACTGTCCATACCTAAACAAAATATTTCTTCCTGAAAGCAAAGAAGTTTGGAGAATCCTCGACCATCTATTAAATTAGTTCTTTTATCAATATTTCTTTTTTTCAATGCAAATGTAAATCTCTAAATAAGAAAAGGTAGAAAAATTTTTCAGCAATCTTGAAAGGAATGTTTGAAAAAAATAAAAAATAAAAACCGAGCTTCTATCTATACGGGCCAAAGGAGAAAAGACTTCACAGGAAAAATAAGAAATCACGTACCAGAACAAATATCATTGACATTATATGAGCCGCGATCCTTTGTGATTATAATAAGTAGGGGGAATTTCTCTTTATCATAAACCATTGACTCTAGCGTGCGACGAACTTCGGGCATTCCTACCATTTCAAGCCATTCTCGAAGTTTTACCTCATTTTCTCTGAAAGTGACCATGGCATTGCTACCTACAACAGTGCGTTGGGGATTGCTAGTGATTCGTAAGAAGAAACTTACTTATGAGTTACATCCCAAGGCCAGAGAATATACTGACATCTCAATAAGTTAGACACGGCATCACTACATAAGACCTTGAAAGCAGATGATTAAGGTGGAGAAAACTGAAAGAAACCGAAGCGAAATGAGCATACCTTTGTTGGAAAAATGTTGGCAGCAATGCTACCATCATGGTGAACATATAAAGCAAGAGGACGACGTTCCGATATGCCCCTGAACATTTTTCAGTGTTGCAATCGTGCATCAATCAGTTCTGAGAGTTGCAAAAAGTCAGAAACATACCCGGGCGATTCAAAAGCCTCTTTGATAGCCTCATGCAGTGATCCAGTGAAGAAAGACGGGATATGGCATCCAATACCGGAAAATCTTAAAAAAATTCACTTAATTATCAGATCAGTATCGGAAACATGGCTGCGAAGAGCTATTTCACTTTTCCTAAGGAGCCATAAATAAGATCAAATGCTGACAGAACCCACAGCCAGTCAACAAAATAACACCTGACCTGGATTCAAATACTACCACAAAGTTCTGAAGCGCTTCTGTTACGCTGGCGCATTCAGTTGGTATTAACGGCAAATTGTTACGAGTAATCTAAAATAAAATTAAATTTGCGAAATACAACACAATTATTGAATTCAGACTCACGGAGTTCCGCTCACTACACTCGAGATCGTCTGGATCGTGGATTGGGTAAGGCTCGTCGTCGTCCGAAATTACAAACTCTTCATGTACTGGGTATCCATTGCGAGGACGATGCGATGAGACGACTGATGACGATGGACGTGACAAGTCCATATCAATGACATTCATGTCATCTGAACCAAATACAAGATCAAACCTACGACTTTTGTTGGCTTTACAATGAAATGAAACTAAGAAAACAATCAGCAAACAAATCCGACAGCTCTTGCGCGCAGTATGTAAACTATGAACAAAACTACCACTTAATTAGGGTTTCACAGGATTCTAAAATTACAAAAAACGTCCACTTTTAAATTAGGAATCTATGTACTGAGTACTGCAAGGAAAAACCATTCAAAAGCAATCCTAACATAATGGTTTCATACCCTACAGATTGAGCACAAACAGCAACTTCAGGCGCCCATCTTGCCAATAGAAGGATAAGCATGACACATAGTAAGTTACCAACTCAAGATCCCTTTTTGAACGACGCCTTTTTGACCCAAGATAAAAAGGTTGAAATCCATTCCCGATCACAAACGCCGTAACAGACATTATCAAAAATGTACACAGGCTTATCGATAAAATCATCGAATAACATCTGTTTTGTTGCCGATGAGTCCAAAACAGGACGCACACGAAGGATATAGTTAGTAAGCCCAGGATGTTGGAAACTCTTCAAATTACCAAACTTATCTCTTCCAATACCTACCTCCATCAACTTCGCGAAGCGAACGGCGTCTGGTCTGCCGATTCCTACGATTGTTGTGTACCTCCAATCCTTCCAGACCATCTGTGTCTTCTTTCACTTCTTCGAAATCCCTGGAAAAGTGTCTCGGCTAATGAAAAGTCTACAAAATCTGGAGACAGTGTGAGAATGCATAGTTAGCATAGCATAGTCCATAGCTCAACCTATAACCTGAGCCTTACACTAGCTAAATGTTTTTGGACCGTTCGAATCACCCTTCACTCACAACTTAGTTTCTTTAACTGACTTCTTTCGAGGTCGACCTCTTTTACGTTTCGCATTAATTTTGGCTCTGAAAACTTTCGTAAGTCATGAACAGCATCATAAATGATTTCCTTGTCTTGGAAAAGTTAATTTGCAACTTGCATTCTGAGCAACAGCAATTCTTCAAGGTACCCCATGCTTGAAATCAAAAAAATGTTAACTTTGTTATGAAAAAGAATCCGAAAAGGAGTTCGTTCCTATCAACATCATTCTCAGTTCAGTTGTGAAAATACACAAATTTTCGAGAAGTTCCTATCAGGCCTTTCGATTTTGATGAGTCACAACACAAAAGAATGCCTACGTTCTACATAGTTCCACGATTTCATCATTCATGATGACACGTAATTAATCCAGTTGGTTTCGAATTAGAAATGAGTCATAGGACTGACCGACTTCAGCAACTCCTTCACTCCTAGCCTCGGTAGTAAAGGAGGAAAATCAGGAAATCATAACGTCTATTTGATCATATAACTTACTCGCCGTCGGGCCCTGATCAGGCCATGACTCCCCTGCTGTAAGCACAGTAACACATGGTTGAATATATGGGTGAACCAACGACACGAGCAAGGCTGTGGGATGGCAAAAGAATGGCTGACTGTGAACATGCTCAAGCGCTTTATGATTAATCAAATATATTAGGAGCTACGTGAAGTATAGGTAGGTGGTGAAACAACAACAAAACTAGTTCCCCTTCACTTCACTGCGAAGTAAGTTAACTGGACCTTTCTTCACAGAACATAGTACTTCCATAAAAGCATATCATCGAACTATCCTTAAGTTGCAGGTATATTTCCTGCACCATGTGAAATGCACGAAACAAAACAGTCGTGGCCGTGACTCAAGACTGAATCACATGTTTTCAAATCCTACGTCAGAAAATTCCGCTCTACCTATAGAATATTCTGAGTTTTGAAAAATTTTATACACTAGTAGGGTACAGTCGCGGAAGTATTGATTGAATTGATTGATTTAACATTTTCTGACAACCTGCTCCCCAACTGCTGATGCAACATGGAATTAGGAATTTTTCACCTAACCATTCACAACTAATCTTCAAAAAAAGTAACCCACTACGTACACCTACAAACACGTGTCGCATTCAATTCTGTTGTTGCATTCATTTCAACAAGCACCAGGGACTAATATTCTATCTTTGTAAAATTCCCTTTTACCAGACCATTCCCATACCGTATTCCATCTCCAGCATCCCAAAAAAGCTTACTGTATGAACTACAGTTTGCATTTCACCTAGTGTCAACATTAATGAGAAACCCCCACACGCTCACTTTCCCATTAACAAATCACCCATATATTCTTTATTCCCAGGCCTATGTTCNACCTGTTGTATTGATCAGTTCAAATAATCACATTTACAACCGTTAGAGCACTGGTGTAGTCCTCAGAAAGTACTCAAATAATGGCATCATTTCAGGATCATAAATCGACGTTAAATGTACGTCGCAACGATCACAATAAATACTCCATAACATTGAGCATCGCCAATGGTTACGACCCATCATCCTCTTAAACCTTCTAGTAGATCCTGCCAAGAATTGTCCAAATAGAAGATGGGCTTTCAGAAAAGAAAAAACGCGAACCACTTGGGTGCTAACGTTTCCGGTGTAGGTACGGCGCCGATAGGTGTTCGTAGTGGAAAAAAAGAAACTCACGGAAGTTCCCTTCGATGATTTTTAGCTGGTGGTGGTAGTACTTCCACGTCATCTGCTATAATTCCATCTCCACAAAGATACGATTCAATTGCTTGCTCCAGATTCCAACCTACAGATTCAAGCCGTGCAGCGGCCAAGTCACGTTCTGCTACATTTGTTACCTCCTAAAGAGCATTTTAGTAGAATCAGATATAGGAAATCGATTTCAATTTATCTCATATACCTGAAATTGTCGAAGTTTTTCAGCTTGATCTGGTAATAATTCCATAGTCAGTGATGTCGAATCTCGGTGAAGCTGCGGCGGGCGGTCTCCGTTCAACAAGTAATCTAAAAGCAATTAAACAAATGAAACTATTCAAAAAGGTTCATTTTAAAAAGACACGTAGTAAAGAGCAATGATACGGGATAACGATAAGAAATGATAAAATACTCAAAGTAAACGATTGATGATGAAGGGGAGAGAAGAGGACGGGGGGAGCCACCTTATGTCATCACTTGACCGGCGTTTTCGTGATGTCTGCATGCTGTGCAGACCCCACACCCTCGTCAATCGATCGCTACCTACCAGCTGATTGTCTGCCCGGGGAGAGTCAGAACGAAAGGCTCCCCTAGCCCCAGCTAGCCCTTTACGACCTGTTTAAGTAAACTTTCATGGTGTAGGGGACCGATTTACCAGTTAATTGGATGATAGTGCTCTTAAAAACATTGTCACAGTGATGTCCATACAACATAGTTTATTCGACATTTCGAAACGTGGAGCACATTTAAAACGGAGTAATGACTCCTTCAGTTAACTGTTTTGGAAACAAAATCCATGTGAACGGCTATGGTCATACTTGGTTAGCGATGTTTCGATGCCACCGACAACAACCAATGGGGTGACTCATCAATTTGTCGCGCTGTCTGGACCCTCTCGAATAGGCGCTATGTTTCATTGCTTCAAGAACGAATACGACTTCCTATCTAGGCCGTCGCTGCGAAAGAAATGGGGGCTGCTTCGTAATGGCTGCGTTCAGAGTTTGCGTTAGCGAATTGGCAGCGACATCTTTTCCGGCTACAGGCTGCGATGGATCGATACTTATAATCTAGATGTGGTAGCAGCAGGGCGTGGCGATCGCGAGCGTCCTTCGGCTTTGATCCGACGCAAACTCAAAATGACACCCAACGGTTGATTGGAAACAGCTGCAGGAAAGTATTTGATGGCGACCTCAGGCATTGGTAGAGGCTATAAAAGCATTGCTCGGTTCTGTTACATTGTGGAATTGTGAAATATACTGCCAAGGACTAGATATTATATTATCAGCGTGAGGAAAGTGGGAACGATATATTATAGATTGAGCGAATTTGGGTGTTAAGGCTAGCCATACATCCAATGAATAAGTATCATTTATTGACAGACAAGTCCACTAGCGACTATACAATGCACGTTGAACTATGAACGGTAGCTCTGCGAATGACCAATCGCCAGTGGAGTTTCCCTCGCCGTTACTTTCTTATGAGGGTACCGATGAAATCCTTCAAAGACCGTTCAGATTCCATAATGATTATGGGTCGATGCCGCCGGTGGGTCAGACTAGGTACCATAGACGGTGCAGACTCGGTTTTTCGTAGCAGGACCCTGCGCGTATTTCCTGTGAGAGCAAAAGCTCATAGCTCGAGGGCTACGATATAACCAATTGAGGGGATGGCGCCCCACGGGTCTGCGGCGACGGCATATGCTGACACACACCATGTTTCCAGTTTATTCATGGCTTTTCTGAGAAGTAAACATCGGGGCAGGTAATCCTTCCTATTTTCGCTATCGCTATCTATCTACGCTGTAACGGTTGGTATCAAGTAACCAACAATTTGTCAAGAGCATAAGACGCAAAAGAAAATAATGTCGTATCAGCCTCTATGTTAGTGCACTAATTTTTTTTGTTTTAGTTTAGTTTTATATTGCAGTGATATGCAGTTTGTAAAACCTGTTGTGCCAGGGCAGAAGCGACTGCATTTTGACTATATACTTTCGCCATCGCCGCGACGCATGAGCCACGCTCGCGGTAATCAATGCTGCGGTGCTTCGCTTGGGATAGCTCAAGGTTGAACGAACTCAAGACGTTACGTCTCGCTTTTCCGGTTTTCCATCCTCGTTCGTTTCGTTCGTTTATCGACTGGGTGCTGCTGGTTGCTCATATTTATACTTAATTATGTCAGGATCTCTACTCTTGTCTTCACCCATTCACGAATGTTAAAACTTCACTGAACACCTTCTTGGAAGGGTAGACCACATGAGACGAGGTGGAGCAGCCTAGAAGCAAGTTGCATTGATACTCAGTTCTCCAGAAAACCATATGGACATCGGCACTTGTCGACACGATAAGTGGCGCTATCGTGGGTGAAAAAATGGTCTAAGGAAGGCGTGATGGAGACAAAAAGAGCCCTTGACCAGCGTTCTTAGTGCAGCAACGTTATTTATTTATTTATTTATTTACTTGTCATTTGCATTTTAGGTGCACCCCATAGAAATAAAAAGCAGAAATGCACAATTCGAGTTGTTGAAAGGTAAAGGTAAACCAGATAAATCCAACAAATCGTTAGCGTTCTATTTGCTTTCATTGAGTTCACGATGTTTATGTGGTTAGGCGCGGTGGATTCAGTGAATAAATAAATAAATAAATGTCTACTAAAATAAATAAGTAAAGCTTCTCCAGGACTGTAGATGATTTTGTCGCGTCTATGACGATCTTATCCTGGAGATATAAAGAATTTCATAATCTAAAAATGTTTTCTCTGAGATCCTTTTATTTCATAAGAAACGCTGACAAAAGCGAATAGGTTTCCAACGACGGCATTTTCATATAGCTGTTTACGTTTACATGATTTGAGGAGGTCCGCGGGGTTGTTTATAAGCAGTAGCGCCTGTCTATCCACAAGCTGGTGGACACGATAGGGGAATGGCCGAATGCGGACAGTCTCATAGTCTCAATATAAGTTGCAACGTTGGGATAAACCCCGTTCTGGGACAACCACTGACTACATTTGCGCCACTTCATGAGGTACGGGCATTGTTAACTGTGAGTACGGGTGAGGAAATGCCATCAAGGTGATCTCGTCCGAAGTAGTTCGCCGCTTGGTGAATGCCCTTTTAAACGTATCAAGAAAACAGACTCAAACTTCATCATTCATCGATATTGCCAGCACGGTATCGGAGTGTTCTACAAACCTGTGTAAACGATAAGGGATGAAATCTTTGGGCGCTGATCAATCCCGTCTAAGGGATGCGCACCGCATTCGAATTCCATTCAGAATCGTAGTAGAGTAATGAATGCGTATGTGGCCTGTTCGAGACTGGCGGTGGCCAGACGATGAACAAGTCACGGCATTAATCCTCCTGGACGAGTAAGGTGCCAATTAACGACCCCATAGAATGGAAGGCCTGGTTAGCCCAGGCGGATGTCGATCCGGAATTCGAACCCGTGACTACGCGTGTCTGATAATTCGCCACTTGCCCTACCAACCTATGTGTTCAACCTCAAATCTGATAGGACCTGTTATGAGTCCATAAACCCCTCCCCAGAGGGAGCTTTTCCATCTACGCTCAAGGTTTTTTTGAGGTGTACAATGAAAGAGAATGGGTAACGAGGTGAGAGGCGAGAGCGTGGGGGGAGGTGGGGGCTAGGGGACGTGGGAGAGGGAAGCGGTAGGATTATAAAAAAGCCTCACAAAAACTAGGTTTCAAAGAATTCATCTTGCCAAAGTAAATACTTACATATTAACGTCAGCACTGCGGTGCGACGACGTAGAGAAAGGACACACTTATGGGATCTCTCAGAAAAAAAGAGATCATAAGCAAATAAAAAAAGTTGGCTATAAAGTAATTCTACTGCACTCCTACTACTACTATCAGAAAGAAGCTAACAATTTACAAAAACTATTACAATGGAAGATAATAAGCAGGTCGCACCTCTCGTTCACTACTAAAGGTTTCGTCTTATTTACAAATTACATCGTTTACACGAACAGTCCATCCGACATCTGATAAGATAAATGTGAATCGGTACCGCTCAAGTGCTATTTCAGCATATCAGTCAATCATCATTTTTTAAAGCTATTGACAGAAACCAGAAAAATGACATGAAATGTATGGAGACAATATTCAATACGGGACCATCATTTCGCTGGTTAGCTTTCCAGAGAAAACGCTGAAAACATTTCCGCTAGGGTCAAATTAGGTTCGTTCCAAATCCTTCTATCTCGAATTCATTATACTTGTTGGGAACTAGCCTGAATGCAGTTTCCGATTGCGCTCCGCGTACGACCTTCAGTCAGAATCGCTGTGATATTTGAATGCTTTTACTGAATGTTCATGGCTTACATAGTGAATTATGGAACCAACGTATGTAAAGTTCGGATCTTCCATCCTTCCACACACGTTCAATACCACTACTACTTTATCCACCCAAGAGGGTAGAGTCACTTAACATGAACGGCTATCAAGCCGGGATTTGATTCCTGTGTGGTAGCTTGACACTACCCCGGGTGTGGAAGCTCTTTCAAGACCAATACTGATGTCTAGTTAATCTAGTCAAACGGAAGTAACCAGTTTCACGGGTTTGATCATTAGTGACAGAAAAGCATGTGTGATAGTGCAGCACTAGCAGCTACACCTCCTTTGACGTTTTCATGAAAATTGAACTCCATTTCTCTTCCTTAGCAAAGGGAGAGAGAGAGCAGAGATCAAAGGGCGTAAGGGTGTTCGCAAGTTCCACACTGTCACACAGCGGGAATCGAATTCCGGTTCGATACTCGCCCAGGCCAACCAAGTCTTCCATCCCTTCGAGGCCGGTTGATTGGTACCAGATCTGCCTGATTGTGAGATATAAAAATACTGATTTGTACAAGGGCTGGCCAACGCAATTCATCGTATAAACCACATACTCATTCAAATCACCACAACGATTCTGAATATATCGAATGCGGGGCCCTACCGAAGAAAGGCAGCGACTGGCCCCGAAGACTATCCTTCATAATTCATGTCAAGTGTGGATCGAACCAATATCGCAAGCGTAGACAGTGATTGGAAGATATCTTTACTGTTTTTGTCGTAGGCACCATGGGTGCCATTTCTAAGAACAGTTTCAGTCTAGTCCTTGCGCCCCGAAATCGCAATTACATACTGCATGGGATAATCAAGGTAATATGTTTTCCATTAAAAGCCTTGAAACGTTATCTCGATAACATACTCTTCTGACAGCAAACCTTCCCTTTCCATCCCAAAATCTTTGAAACCACGTCATAGCACGGCTATTCATCTCTTCGCTGCTACGATAGAGGCCATCGCGTGCGACGAACTCGACGACTGCTAGCCGCCCCCTCTAACCATGAACGGCTGAGACGCGTTATCCACTCCGCGGCGACCTCGTGGGGGATTCTGTACACGAATCCAGCAACCCATATGTCCAACATCCACGTGTAAACATAGCAATGAGATAAATTTCGGTAAACCACCGTTTTCTGAGAACTTTTGTCCTATAGGGAGTCTCAATCGAGGATGTAAGCATTCTGGCGAATACAGCAAGACCTAACACAAAAATTGCTGATGAAATAGAAATAAAGGCAAAATTTTTATTTGAACTCCTATATCTTTGGGTCGTGCATGTCTCCATTAACTATGTACCACTTGGAGTGATTTTTTTTCAACAATTCGGAGGAAATTTCATTAAACCATTTGCACCCTGTCCCATCACAACAATTTCGAATAAATTCACTCCTATGCGAAAGAACAACTCTGTGCATATCAGAAACACAATTTACACGAGACTGACTGAGCCACTATCAAACATCATTCGTCAAAGAAAGATCAGAGAAGACAAGAGACCAACTGAGATCGTTCTCCAATAAGAAACACTCAGAACGTCAAAATATGGTCTAAAATACAACACTGTCGACCCAAATATTCCTACTAACCCGCTGAACGATAGCTGAGCTGAACAATACTAGAGTGAGCATCGAAGTGGAGGATGGAAAACCACAACATCGGATAAAAGGCACATTCTCACTCGGCAAACTATTAAAACAAAGCTGATATAAGCCTATAACACGGGCAACCTAAAGACCTAACATATCGATCTGATCAAAAAGAGGAAAGAAACAGTAAAGTACACATGAAAATAAACATCCTAGATGTGCTCTTGCGACATAATTTTAGCATCTGAAAAATCACGCTTTAATAAAATATGAGTCAGCTCAGAAGAACAACTTTACAAAGCAGATTTGTGTAATGACTAACAGTGCCTGTGAATTTTCTCATGACCTTTGAATGGTGGATTTTAAAGAAACCAGGACAGTAATATAAGGACACTGCATTAGACTTCAACATCTCATTGTTACCTTTAACCTCCAACTGTGACCAGTCATCCTTAGACCTTTTCGTCAACATTTCCTCACTGGTTAGTCACTGGGAATCGACCAATTTTGTGTATTTGCCAGAATGGAAGCTGAACAAGCCGTCTTACAGTGCTTTTTATTTTCCCACACCAAATTGTATATTTCAAGAAATCTGAAAATTTGGACCTAAATCGTGTGGAGGACTTGGCCCGACTAACATTTGGCCACGGTTCTTCCATCGAGGGTCATGAAGGGCGCATAATGTTACAGGTGATAAAAACACAACGAATATCATGACCTGAACTATGAAAGCAGCATTTATGGTTTTATTTGTTTTGCTGACTGCTGTTTCGTCGCCGTTCGTGATGTGAATGTCATCACAAGCTTAACTTTGATATCACGGACGGATGATATCATTGTAGAGCAATGAGTAAGCACTTCCCTGGCAACGCCTAGGCACGAAAATGGCGTTAATATGATGAAATTTCACGGATACAAGGTTCCCTTTCATCTACCCTACCCCCTCCACCGTTTCTGCAACAGAATCATTTACCCTTTAATTTATTATTTTCAAATAGCCTTGTCCCATAAAATGAAAGGTACTTTCTTTGAGGGACACTCCCATCCTTCTCATTGAATTAATATGAAAATCAAAACCAGCTCAAACGAGAACTTCAAGAACTTAGAGTCCCTTTCAGTTTTTCACGGTATTGAATAAGTATCCAGCCTATTCTCTTCCGAAGTATATGTGCGAGCACTCTTGTGATAATCCAATTGGTCAAGCGTTTTTGAAAAATCAGCTACAACTTTATAAGGCTTCACACCCTTCTCCACACTACGAATGACACGTCAGCATTGCATTCACTTCATCCTACTCCCAATAGAACTACGTACTGAACAGAGTTATGATGGAAAGAAAAAGTACCCCGCCCACATAAATGAAACGCTCTCATAAAACTGCTCGACCAATGCAGCCAAATTTTGGCTTAATCGAAAAGACTCCCACAAACCTCCGAAACCATTAGAAAATTAAGAGCAGCTCCACCAGCATAAGTCTATTCAAGAAAACAGGAGAAATTATGAACGCTCTGCTTCAGATCTATTTGAAATAACAATGTACACACTATCCGTCGGGGTCACATCTCTCACTCCCGCGTGTGAAAAAACAAACAGTTCAAGAATCGACACCCACTTGAAAGCAAAGTGGCTCGACTTTTCGAACCACGGTCCAACCGGAGCCGGTAAAACGGAAGGAGCCATATGGTAGTCAAATATTATTTACACCAATAAACAATCACTTAATAACTTTGCCTTTTGTAAAGGGAAAAATTTGCTTTAAAAGAAGGCCTATTCCCTTTTAATGACATGGCCTATTACCCAATAAAAACATCGACGAATAAAATCCAATACTGCCCCTGTGTCGTACGTGTCGTACAGCACATGTAATGAAATATCGTCATGAAACATTGTAATGGAACAAACCTCAACGTTTTTTCGCAGAACATTCGGAACAAAACCACTGTCCTTTTGGTTCAACAACTAGACCAACGCAATCAAAGTGGAACCATTGATATTTACACTAAACGAGATGATACTTTAACCTGTTGAATGTATTAAATCACCCATGATAAAATCCAAAAGTGAATCATAAATAACAAAATATCGTACCTCTGGATCATCACAGCATATCATACTTCCGCTTGACACCTGAAAGGGCGAGATACTTCACAGAAGAAGTGGTTTTAGAAGAAATGACCCTACTACGGAATGGGATAATACGAACCTCTCGACAGAAGCACCATCGCTCATTGCCATCCCCATCAACGGACTCCGATTTGAATCCGCCTCGTTTGAATTTTTCTCGATCCTTATGATTTTGCAAAAGCTCCACAGCTCGCTCGGTCATCCTGGAACAGATCGTGCTTTTGAAACCTGTTCGAATTATCTTTTCAACAAACTTGCCAGCAAAAGCCCCCTATTCACTTACTTCCTTGGACGTCCGTGTAAGCTTGTGGTTTCATTCACGTTTCCAAACGAGATGCTAGTCCTCTTTTTTCGATCCCAAGAAGAAGCACTTGTTGATGGAGAGGGTGACGAAGCCGCAGAATCTAGTAGGAGGCCTTGCATAGCTGGCGATTGAGGAAATGTCTATAAAACAGCTTTATGAACAATATACTGAATGACAGCTTCGAAGCATTTGAAAAATATATCAAATACAAACGATTCTACTAGTTTGAAACGAAGTAGGGCTAGAACAACTTTTCTGTCGACTTTTCAAATCCGAGTTCGTCGTGAGTGCTCGGATGTAGCAGCTTTTGCAAAAAGTTGACCGCAATTTGTACTTAGTCAAGGACGTTTCCAAGCACCGGTGCAAACTAAGTGCAACCTTTGCATTTCGTTAATCCTCTTGGCAATATAACTTCGTTAAAAGGTGAGCGATTAATGACACGTTCTTTTTTTAGTCCAATCATTTTAATGAGTTGAAATTAGTTAAAAGAATGCAAGAATTGGAATTAGTGAGTTCAGCTTCAGGTTTATGAGTTGAAAAAACAAAAAAAAAAGAAAACGAAAAAAGCAGTTTTGAGTTTCCATCACTATCACTGGTCTCACAATTAAGCTAAAATCTTTGAAACCTTCTGAGTGTTTCATAGACACGACCTCTGACCACCGTAAGGAACTTCAATCATACCTAAGTAGTCATGGGAGAGACTACAATTACGTAAAAAAGGTTTTGAGAATGCAATTTTAAACTTCATGACTTGATTTATTAGTACCATCTGTAGCATTACACTTAGAGTAACAATCAGTTAAACATCAAAAACAGTAGATTGGCTGGACAGAAATGATATCTCCCAGGCTAATAGTTCAACAGGCACAGGCGTTCTACTAAACCCTTCGCCATTCCCATGGTCAAACTGATTTGTAAAAAATGTCTCTGCCATAAACTCACCAAGCCGTTAGCATTGTTCACTGAGTACTCGCTTTCATAACTACTACAATTGGATTACATAGAAAGTGTAAACTCACCGTTGGATGGGATTCATAACCCACAAAGTCATCATCAGGGAACAGTGAATCCTCCTTAATTAAATGAAATGAATTTCCTCTCCACGTACTTCCTTGTTCTTTCAACATGGAAAATGAGAGAAAACCTTCAAGGATTCCATTATTTCTCTCGGAGGTGATGGTAACGTCGGGAATAAGCCCAACACATCACTTGCATCGAAGTCGTCATCCGACCCAAGTGGATCTATAAAAAGAGAAAAATGGTTAAAGAAGCTGTAACAATGAACGCTAATGCTGAAAGCCTGGCAGGTATACCTTGGTCATTCCACTTGACATCATCGGACAATGCAACATCTTCAAGACCACCAAGACTATTATCGTTTGTAGCTCCAGAAAATGAAGCCAAATCTGCAATGGCAATTCAGTGTAAGACTAATAATCGAACAGGGAATCGAACAGGGAATTGACGCTGGGAAGGCCTAATTCAATCTTGCAGTACTTCACTTTGCCATAATTAATAACATAATTACTGCAGCCCTAAACCATTGGTACACTTCTGTTCACCGGATAATCACATTATTATGCCAATAATTCTGACGATTCGATAATTTTGACACATCGATCTCCATACCGTCCAACTTCAAGACAAACCTTACCGCGCACTTACGTAGGGAAATCTTTATGCCTTAGCTTAGCTACCAGTGACCTGTCTACTGGATTAAAACGCGATTAGGATAACTTTAAGGGAAGAAAGTAAGAAAGAAATGCGAGATGAAAGCCACAGCAGTAGCTGTCGAATTCTCAATCAAAAAGTAGCACTATAAATCAATAGCTTTGCCTTTCAGAATGAGGAAGAAAAGATCACTGCTTCTCGACCAACCTGTCTCCGACGACGCCGTTGACATTTTCTGCTGTTTGCGTCGACTTTCTTCGTGCCGGGCAGCATGTATTTTGTTAAGTTTCATCCGCTCCCGCTCCCTTTCCTGTTTTCTACGAGTGTAGTTGGAGACAGCTGGAGGCGGAGTGCCAGAATTGTACTTCCTCTTCTGAATATGCCAACTTTCAAATGTGGAACAGGATCGAGCACATGAATGGCACCGAAGTTTATCTAACTATTTCAAATAATGAGAGTTTATAGAAGCTTTGGTACTCCTAATGCTTCGAGTTATTCAGCTGAAGAAGTTACCATTTGGTGGTTAGAGAATATTATAAACGTTCGTTAACTAAGCAAGTTTGATGTGAGAGCAAGTATGATGTGTGAGAATTACCTTAGAAAGTACAGATTGATCTGATCTAAGGGCTTGAAAGCATAATAATAAGAAGTAAATGAGTTTCTGTGGTGACCGGTGTCCAAATCAATTCGGGGTTCCAAAAATTCAACGTCGGTCATTTCTTTTGACTGCTTTAAAAATAGCGTATAAAGTCTGTATCAGGTTGATTCACGGAAAGAAATCTTAGAAATATCAACACTCTATGCTTATGCAAATTCCTTCGACTTAGCAGCACCTGAAACCTCGATTTTTCCAATAAATTCCCATAATTAAAGACCTCTTCTATTTACAGACACGCTCAAAAAAAAAGAAATATTACTGGTTCTATGACGTCATAAAAAACTATTACATGGCCACGCAAACAATGTTCAATCAGAGAAGCTAGAGGCTTCAAATGCCTTTCTACTGCGCTCCGAAAAACTGTCTCAAAGATCTGTTCACGAGGTTAAGAAGGATAAATTGATCTCGATCATCCGAGAACGTAACTAACATGATGCGAAAGAATTTGAGTAGAGAAAACTGAATGAAAGAAAAAAGAAGAGCCTTGAAAAAAGTTAACAACACCTTCAACTTGTCTCATGGATAAACATCAATTACTTTCTATTTGCGTCTTAGACTTCGCATGAGTCAAACTAAGCGTGCGCTCAGTTGGAAGTACTTGTATTTTTTTAATAATTAGATTCGTTGAATTAATTTGAAAAATTGAGAGCCTCAACATCCTTATGAAAATTAGCAATCCATGATTTATCCACTTGAACTTTGAAGAAATTAGAGCATACCTTCAACCTCGACACGGAAGTTGAAGCAGTCTGAGGACTGTCACAACGAGGCATTCGCGGCGAAGAGCTTCCATATCGTTCCCTAGCTTCTAATTTACCTATAATACTACTTGTTAACAAGTGCTGAGCAATCTTCGAAACACAATTGTTTTGATGTCAGGAATTATTTGATATATTGCTTCCATAATTATAACACCACTTGAAGCTGAATGAAATACCCTAAGAAGAAATCTATGATGGCAATTATAAAATGCGAAGATAATAACCCTTCTATAGAACAATAATGAACCTACCGTTTAAACCTGATACCCCAGAGTCCTTGAGATCAAAAGCGGAAGCAAGATCCCCATTAACACCTTGTTCTGGACCAAAAGTCGACTTTGCGTCGTCCATAGGTTCAAATTCAACATTACACGAAGTTAGGTGGGATGAAGTCGGCTTCAATCCGAGCATACGGCAGAAGTCTGAAAGCGCATTTGTGAAAGAATATGTCGACGTTCTAACTAGATCCAAGGTGCTTTATAATAAGACTTCTTTAATAAACGAAAAAATGGCTGTTCGGTTGTCAGAAAAACATGAAAGCTTCATACTTGCTACAGACAACAATCGAGTAAGTTACTCACTTCTCTCTATGGCTTCTGTACATCCTGGGTTATCAACTTCCAACTCTATCTTACATAAGTACGATGAATCAGCAACCTGAAGAAACTCATGATTAGTCTTTTGGTAACAGTCATCATACCGCTCAAGGTGAATCCTTGTATCGGTGATTTTTGTTTGTTACCTTTTCAAGCACTGCGCTCATCAACCGCTCACTCCTGATAGCCAGATCAAGCTTTCGTTCACTCAACCGGTGTATTAGACGGTACTTCTGTAAAATGGATCTATCACTTAATGCGAAGGTTTCCATATGAAAATTCATTGTTAAGCATCGCGTCAATTGCAATGAGAAGAGAATTATATACATTTCAATGCTTCGTTTGCCTCTTCTAATGTGAACTTCAAAACAACTTGTTGTCCTACAATTTCTCACCAAAAATACAAAATGCTTATTTTCTTGTTCAGAAAAAATCCACATATTTTTGTTTGAGTTTCTACTTGTCAGAGAAGCACAAATTCTAGTAGTGGCAAACTAACATCGGCAAGTTCCATCAGTATTCGTTCTCTCATTGGTTGGGATGTCTCCCTAACCTCCATAATTCGTTTAGCAGCATATTTACATTCTAGTCGAAGTCCTAAAACAGTCAAAATCGAATCAACTGTTAGAAACCAGATATTTGGCAGATAAAAATAGCTGGCACACAAAATTATGTCGTCAACGTGCTGAACCGATTTAGATACTCACTTTCTACATCATTATCCCACTTTCTCATCTGTTCAAACCTCCTGCCAATCTCTTCTGGTAGATCTTCGACCACTGAAACAGACTTTATTGCATTTCTTTGCCACAGATTGAGTCATGCTAATGGAATGTAGCACAGCAACCCAAGAAGTTGAGTATCAAACATTACGCTCTTAGCCTAACCAGAGCCATGCCCTCATGCTATGGACCCAGAAGGGAAAGAGAAAGAGTTCAAGCTTTAAGCGGGCATAGCAGTAGTAATGTTTCGAGAAGCAGCCTTCAAAAAAAGTCCACATCAAGATTATTCTTACACTCTTGCTTAGAACACAGAATTTGCTTACTGAATGTACTATGGTGACCTTGAAGACTAGCAAATACGTCAGCTTCATTGCTTATAATTACCCTCACCATAAAGCGGGATTTCATGGTAACGTTCGTGTACTAACGCTTATCAATAACACGTCGTTGGTACTCAACCGACGACCTACATTGCCAGTGCGCTTGATCCAATTACCATAGTATTACGAACAGGTACTAGGCATAAATGAGACCTTATCAAAGAATTGTCATGGTAATTCGAGTGGCAACGCAGAACGTTCCCACTCAGATTCTGCGAAATAATGCAATGACAAGGTACAAAATAGTGCTTAACATAAAGGAAAAACCCTATCTCATGACATTAATGAAAAGGCCTTGACATATGAAACTCATAGAGGAGGCTTCATTGCCATGAATTATTTCTTCTATAAAGTGTTACGTATATAGGTACAAAAAGGTTCAGATCGACCGGGAAGTCTAATGAAAGTCCACTTACATTCTATGATATCCTCTAGATATTGCATCGTGGAAGACTACAGATACACTAAAATAAAAATCATGATTATATGACTTGATAAGCCATTTGAAGGCTCACCAGAAACCTATATGCAACACTTACCTCCAAAATCTTCCTCTTTATTACAAGAGCCTCGATCCGAAAAAAAAAGTGGTCACATGCTCTAAATGTAAAACAACGTCATCAACATTTGTCAATTATTTATTTCAGCTCAGCTGATCACATAAATAAGATGATGGAGAATAGACCCCTTTCATTGGGGTGGAATGATCCAAAAATGGATTGATATGAAAAATAGTGTAATTTACACTACCTTCAGATGGAAAACGAATACCATTCCATGATTAAGAACAATGAACCACCAGTAATGAACTAGATTTCACACTAATGGTGACTTAAAAGAGAAAATGCTGCCATTTAAGTTGTGCCCTGTGTGATTGCAGAAAGGTGAATGTACAATGTCTGGAAAAGGTTGAGAGACGAGAAATCAACAATCATAGGATCGCTAATCTTTGCTAAAGCTGTTAAAATCGTAGATAATATAAGCTATAAATTGTCTGTATGAAAGTCAATGACGTCATCGGTTCATAATGGAAAAGAAGGAATGTTTTGATAACTTTTGGGTGAGGAATAAGAATTCGGGGATGATCGCTGGTATCGATCTTTCTGTTTAACAGCATTGGTTTTGTATGTCATGACAGGTTAT